TGCTTACTCTCGCAACTCCTGGTTTGCTATTAAGAACTGAAACCTGGCGTAACCCCCACACTCCAAATGAGTTCTACCAAATAGTGGGCTATTCATTATCCATGGACAGCCGACATGTTGGCAACGGAGGCAGGTGCGCCATTTATGCACGGGACCAACCCCGTACTCAATTAATAGTAGACCCGAAACTCAATATAATAAATGAATCCGTGTGGATCTCTACTCAAATGAATTGCTCTCTAAGTTTACTTGGATGTATTTACACCCCACCACATAATGACGTGTTACTTTTAGAATACCACACTTCTGCTTTTGAATTTGCTTCTGAGCTACTCTTCAGTCAAAATATAATGGGAGATGACTATAATTTACCAGAGATTTCATGGCCAGAGTATTCAGCACAATTAAAGCTGATGAGTTTCGTCTTCGAAGTCCGGGCCCAATGTTGGACTCAAGTAGTTCATAACCCTACCAGGGAAAACAATATTTTAGATCTCATTATTGTCCAAGACGTACACCCCACGTTTGTCGTAATATCTCGTTTTCCAGGTAGTGATCATAGAGTCGTGTACATCCTTTTCGCGGAACTCGATCTCGTCCAACTTGGTAACACAATACAATCAATAGAGCCCTTCAGGGAGTTTAGAAATGTAAACTGGGACACATTTGCTATACTGTTGCAAAAAATGAACTGGGATCTCTGGTTTCGCGCAAGGGATCCGCAGGTTGCAGCAGACAAAACGTACACAAATATCCAACACTATCTTCTTGGTCTTGCTCCATTTGTACTGAGATTCGATAAGCTGAAAACACTTCGCTCAAAAATATACAGACTAGCGACTTCCCCTTACTTATCAAACAGGATAAGCACTTTGACCAGTTGCGGTCGACTCGTGCCCCAAGGTTATTGGCAGAAGAAAAGCGAGCATTGATAAATGACAATGAATCTAAAGCCTTGGTCAAGCTACTGAAGGCTAGAAACGACAGTCAAACGGAATCGGTATCCTGCATCGTATTACTTGACAGATCCATACCCCCGGGGACCCCACAGTGATAGGGAACGTTATGAATGAACACATTTCCACTTTGTTAACTACCTCAAGCAAAGCACATACGATTAACACTCCTACTGGTGTTGGCAAACTTAGCACAGTGCATTTCGATTACGGTGTCATTCAAGCTCACATTGATCGGCTACGGTCTTCGTTCCATCCTGGACCTGATGGTCTACCAACTTCTCTAATAAAGTTTGGTGGCCAGGATATATCGCTCTTGCTTTTTAACCTGTTTACCCTATCTATGAATTCGGGTATATTCCCAAATCAATGGGAACTCTCTATTATAAAACCTAGACTTAAGAAGGTTGAAAATAAGAATGGTTGAAAACTAGACATAAAAATTACCGTCCGATTAGCCACCCTCCAATTATTTTAAGAATAATGGAAAGAATTATGAAAGAGAAAACTGTTATGTACTTGCTGTCATTGAATTTAATAAACCCAGCTCAACATGAGTTTTCGCAAAGATGCTCTTGTCAGACACGCCATCTATCCTTTCTAAACCATCTGACAAGTTCCAGTGACAATGGAAATGCAACCGTCTTTCTCTTTATTGATATGCAGAAGGCCTTTGACAGAGTGCCGCACAACAACCTCTTGGTGAAGTTGACCAATTTCGGGATCACTGATCCCTTGCACACATGGTTCAAATCTTACCTATCTGATCGTACGCAGCAGGTACAAATAGGATATAGCAAGTCTTCACCATCGAAGATAAAAAGTAGTGTGATTCAATGAAGTGTGTTAGGTTCCTTGCTCTTCCTAATGTATATCATTGATATAACTGGAAAAATAATGTTGGGTCACCTCATATCTTTGCGGATGATATGAAAATACTATACATCTTCGATTTCCGGTGTTTGAGCCACACCCTTGAAAACATTCGCATAGACCTACTGGCCTTGGAATTGTGGTACACTGACTGGCAAATGTCTTTCTCAGCGGACAAGTGCAGTGTGTTAACATCCAAGTGCGAACTTTCGCTGAATGCACTTTACCTTGGTGGTAAACCCATCCCTGCAATAAGACTATACAAGGTCTGGGCATCCGGTAGTCTAACACGTTGCATTTTAGTGAGCAAGTTGAATTCATAACGGCCAGATCACGAAGAAGCGCAAAACTTATCTTAAAATCAGTTTTGATGCGTGAGGCTAACCTACATTTGTTTAAGGTCTGCGTTGGCCCTATGCTAGAGTACTGTTCGACTTTCTTTACAAGCAGCAGGAAACGTGGTCGCATGTGCTTAGAAAACGTGCAGAGATCCTTCACAAAGGTTCGCTTAAACTCTTTACCTAAACTTAACTACTCTGAAAGTTATAAGATGCTACAACTGGAGCCACTATGGCTAAGATGCATGAAGCTTGGATTAACATTCCTATTTGATCCCTTAGATCCATAAGCGTGTTTTCGTGCCAAATATCAATATTCCCTTCAAAAAAGAATCTAGTTACGCAATTTGAAATACCAAGAATAAACTCTCGGTGTTCAGAACGAAAACTTATGTTCGAAGAAAATTCTTCCTAAACAGATACACTGGGATCTGGAATAGCCTCCCTATTGAAATAAGAGCATGCAACTCACAACCGTTGTTTAAAATAGCAGTTTCAAAGTGCCTGACGGTGCAATAAGTAAAAACAATGTTGCAACTAAATTGCAATGAAAATGTGTTATTTGAATAGGGGGCCGAGACGTGCGTTGATAACAAATATGCATGAAACGTTCGACGTACATTGCATTCACTTGATCAAGCCCTCTTGAAGGTGTATTGGAAAGACAGAGATATTGCTGCCAGAACTCCCTTCACTCTTCTTCACCCGACACACTCTCCTTCTTTACTCGGGAAAGCATAACTCACAGACACACCAACAAGTGTGGACTGCAGAAGAATTTCGAACCAAGATTGAGATAGCCGTTTTTCTCTCCATTCCTTCATATTCTGCTTATTCAGCCAAGCCTACCTTGCAGCCATACCAAAAAGTGTGAGCTGTGAAGGAAACGCTGACAGAATCTATCCATCTTCATTCGCTTTTACCATTCGTTCTTCTCTTACTCGTCCATGATTCCCATGTTGCTCTCATGTAAACATGTCAGGCACCACGGTGATGCTAACCGATTATGCTTCCAACATCTTCATCACTATTCAAATATTCTCTCTCATTTTTTTACTCGCTTACGCCTAGCGTACAGTTATATCAAAATACCTGCGCCAGTTGACAGGTGCTAATCGTGTTCCCCTCACACACAACAGTTGCTGAAATGAAAGTAAATAAACAGCCCCGTCATTCACCAATCCACTTAGAACGCCACAACGTATAGTGAATGACTTACCCACATCAGCTGCTTTGTTTACACGGTATGATTTCAGCCTTAGTCTTTTTCCTATCGTCATAATTGCTTCTCATGCTTTGTCTAATGAAATGAAAACGCGATTCCGTCCGTATGAGGAGATCTCCGTCAGGACGCTATGATATATTCTGTGCCCAAACAAAGCTTTGAACTGCAAAGCCCTGGCGGATAAAAAACGTTTTCTATTTCTGCCTGACAAATGCCATTAAACCATACGAAACCATTGTAACAATATGATCAAGCAGAACCGGGTATGCCTCGTAAAACCGAGAATATACATTATTATTAGTAGTAATATTAGTATTATTATTAGGTCAAATGAGCGGTCGGTGTGGTTGCGCGGTCCGTGTGATGGGTTATGCACACGCACTGGCTGATAAGTCACAAGGAATGGCGAGTGACTGGAACCTACTAACTGAATCTGAACACAACGCTGAACACAGATTGAGAAATCACAAATTCTTTCACATCTGCGTTGAGAAACTCCGGATTGGAATAAGCTTAGGCTTTTCGGACTGCATCAAGAATTAGGTATCGAATGGTGTCACACAGAAAGGCAATCGACTCAATGTGATTGAGTTATCCAGTTGCGCTTAATCACGGATGACAGTTAAAACGGTTAGCGAAAGGCACGGACTTTAATCATAGGAGATAATTCCACATGTGATGGATCAGTGTAAAGTTGGTAAGTCCGGTTCGGAGGAGCGTACAGTGACAACGCTGTGAGAAGATGGAGAGAGGATAGAATGAACCAGGAGTACGCACGTCATATGGACCAAACAATACAGCGTATGAGTGACCATAGTTTACTATTCTCACGATTTACATCAACAATCAATGAATCCCGTGTATTTCTGTATGCTTACACGATTTTTATTTTACACTAACGCTATTTAGCAACTAGTTAGTACCTCGTGCGATTTTCTATATCATGCCATTTCTGCCTAGATATTAACGGCTTTCGAACGAGGACTTAAGGGTACATATTTATATATATTTGGCAACAGTCTACGAATAGACAAGAGCCATCAGAAACCATGGGACTCAAAACAAGGTACAGAATTAGTAAAAGAAAACACAACACAACACATAAAAATCCATGGTTTATTAAGGATATGATAGCGTATTTGCCTTACGCAATCAGTCCGTTTCAATAGAAATATGGGACAAAGCTATCCAGACAATGTGGTCCCTAGCCTTCTCCTTCGCAGTGGCAGGGAAAGCTTCACTGCGTTCTCATGAGTTAAATGGTAATACCACTAAAGCCAGAATTATTATTTCTTATTTTGTTCGGTCCTGTAATATTCGCCCCGATTATCCTCAATGTTTGTTTTACTCGCCAGACGTCTGTTTTATCGAACTCGATTGCCGGGCACATCTCGACCTCGTGATCACCTGAATCGATGCTCCAACACACACACATCTAAATATGGAACGTTGCACCCGATTCGTTCACACTACTTGTATGTACAAAAGCAATGTATTTATAGCTGAAGTATGTAGATATTAAACGTTTATCATATCTGTCTACGCAGCGTAACAAATACTTACTTTGGCTCCTTTACACAATCCTCATGCACATTTCTTTTCACACAGGCGATGCGTTCTATCCAATGCAACATAACTACTGGCACCGGACCATAGACAAATGGCTGTATGAACTGCAACGAAATTACTTCTTGGAGTTTAAAGCCCTAGCTGGGTATATCAAGCAGGAGGAACGTCTGCAATCGTATCACACTCCAGATCATGATAACACTCCGGTTCTGATCATGGATCTTCTACAAAGCATGTTTGAGTGTTGTGGCCGAACAACAGGTTACAGGGATTGGAATTCCCCGCATGTTTATCGTCCAAAAAATCACACCTACCGAAAAGCTCTTGGGTGAGTACAAATGTGATCATTAGGTAACCAGGGCTGAACACCAAGGTTAAATATTTCGCTGACCTAAACTAAGTAAACTATCTTGTTTCAATATATGCTAAGCCCGAAGAAAGTAGAAGCCACGATTAAAATTCACGCACAATAATATGCCTCGAGGCATATTATTGTGCGTGAATTTTAATCATGGCTTCTACTTTCTTCGAACTTTACACTACTCACAAACATCCACCATTAATATGCTAAGCCGTCACGACGTGACTGGACCTTAAGGTGGTGCGACGGTTTGTGCATTTTCTTGACCGATTGAACTATAATGGGTGGTGCCCCCGACACCTTGAATACTGAGAATAGAGAGCGAGAATATAAAAATCAGTGTTGCTCAATCGTAGGTGGATCGGGCACATGTGTGGAAGCACATCGCTGATTATTGCGCAGTGGCAGCATATAGCATCTGCACTAGATCTTTTCTGGGTACGATACTCTCCTTATACCTGTAGTCCGCAAAGTGGGCGTCAAGGATTCTCTTAAGTTCTGACACCGATTTCGTCTCGACTATTGTCTAGGGTAATTTGTTCCAATATGTCACCACTCGATGCTCAAAGCATAGAGGGTGAGCGATGCGCTTTAAATCCGGTACCACTAGTTTGCACCGGTGTCCGCGTGTGCTGCTTGGTGCGCGAACATGCAGCAGCGGCCTCAACATAGGGAAGTGGCCCAAGTGCAGTATCCGGTGCGTCATAATGAGATGAACTCGAAGCCGATGATTTGACAAGGTATACATCCCTAGTCTCCTACATCGGCCCTCGTACGACATACCCAGTAAACTGGGGATGAGTCGAGTAGCTACATGTTGGACCCATTCCAGTCTCTGCACCTCACTTATTGTGATCGGACAATAGGTGGGTGAACCGTACTCAAGTACCGGTCTTATCATGGAAGAGAACAGACGGGTGGCAATCTCTTCAGACCAAGTGCAGAACCTGCGTCTGTGCCCAAAGCAGACGTAGTCTGTTTGCGTAGTCTGTTCATGTTGTCGAAGGACTTCAGATCACAGCGTGAGAATACGCATAGATCCGTTACGGAACTCGTGGGATGCAATGGGTGGCCGGCCAGGGTGTAAGCACGCCCAGTACCACCCCTCCCCAGGCTCACAGACGAAGACTTGGCCGGACTGACCAACAGGTCAACTTCTGCAGATCCCCAGGATAGGCGGTCGAGGTCCTGATGAAGTACATCACAGTCGTCGGGAGAATCAATAACCCTCCAAATCTTCAAGTTGTCTGCAGACAGTGCACGAGGCGACCGAAGAAGTTGAGGCACTTCGTCTATGTGAAGCAGGAATAAAATGGGTCCCAGCACTGTGCATTCAGGGTTATTCCTACCAGGTTGGTCAATTATTAGAGGTCAGACAAGTTCAATCTCCTGGCCCTCACAGTTGGGGGTTGGAAACTGGATAGCGCCCATTTCTATAAACTCGAATCGCTTCCATCCTGCTGACATTCGTACAGGCTTTTGAGCCAAAGGCTGGGTGTCCTTGCAGTATCTCAGCCCCCGTCCAACCATGATTATTTATTCAAGCTTCAATCACGTCCTGCATTAGTTGTCGCGCACATTAACATGGGTCGCTTTATCTGCTACATACAGCAGAGCGAATAAGCGAAAACATGATACTGCTGGTGTCTCCCTTCTTAATTTTCCACCTGGTTCTCTTACTCTCCTCCCAACCCCATTACTAACCTTCCTACTATAACCCCTAGCTTAATTGATAACAGTCGCGATGCCACTGGAGTCACACCATCTGCAACTACCTTTCCGCATCACTCAATGGACGCCTACCGGCGACAGACCCTTACAAATCCACACTGTCCCGTTTCGTTGGCGGCGTTCAATGTTCACACTCCAAGATAAGTAGGTCAACAGGTTACGCTCGCACGCACGTTGGAGACACTGGGTATTCACGTGTGGTTGTTGGAGTGACAACTGCTTCTGACTTTTCCTCTCGCCATTGATTATACGCATCCGGAGGTGCTGAGTCGGCAATCATTGGTCAAGCTGGGGTGGGCAACGTCCTCATAAACAAGACTGGGTCATCGTTGGTTGATTGGATTCCTGTGAGTGTTGCTGATGTTGGATAGCACCAGCATGTCTGCAACGATGGTGTATGTAGGTGAGTGTAAGGCAGTGATAATCAGGTAGGATGATTAGAAAAAGGGATTGCGCTAGATGAGTTGCGTTGGTTTGATCAGGTATTATGTGTACGAGGTCCAGGCTTACCGAGGAGGGAGTTGTCTCGTTTACTAGATTTAGAGTGGCGCAAGGCTCGATATGGACAGAAATTAATTTGGTAGCGGGAGATGAAGTCACTGACAACACAACTGCATGCCGTCGATCCGTCTCGACTTCCCTACTGGAGTCCACGTGACGTCATAAGACAAGGCTCACAGTCGGCATCGGTGGAGTGTCTGCTGTCGTCTCGTATCTGTGCTGCCTGTTCAAAGTGTGTTTGGTGCAGACTTTAATGCATGTCGGTGAAACTTGCAAGGAAGGTGTCTCACCGATGTTGCCTTATCCTCGCACAACAACCAGCTGTTTGTGACCGCATGTTGCTGACAAGGTGTATACGCCTTGTTCCTACGTGTTAGCTGCGGGGCATTTGGGTTACTCATTCGGTCACCTCTCCTTTGCTTTTGGTATTCTTCTTTTCTTAGGTAGTTGCGGTTGTACGGCCTCGAAGCATAAGTTTAAATGGCTGATGCACTACTACTGTGGAATATATGCTTAACCTTACAGCAGGTAGTCGTTTGGACGCAGTGTGCATCCCCAATCGCAAGACAACAAAATTTCCATTGAGGTTAAAGGGGGTAGTTTTGTTTCATATATGCACTCCATTTGACAGGAAGGTAGTTGGATAGTCGTGTATACGGACCCAACTAGCAACCAGCTTAGAAATGAGAAATGTTGTACTGGGCAATAGACGTCAAGTTCGTTATATACGGACTTATAAGCTTATCCATTGTTTCGACTCCGTGCGGCTAGAGCCGAGTGTATCAGTCGCATCCAAACTAGAATACATGGCACATGTTGAATTGTTATGACACTGCGTTTTCTCCACTGCAACCCCTCAGTGTCACAAGACAGGCTGAGTTCAGTCTGTCTACCCGATGCGGTGTGTGGATCGTCCGTCGGAGAGTTTAGGAGCCTGATTTAGCGGACGAATCATTGGGGTGATAATGGAAGCCATAGGGCTTAGACTTGGATAAACAGAAAAGAAATTAGTAGCAGATGAAAGCCTAACAGAGTAAATGCCTTTTGATGGGTTACTATCCGGGATAAAATAAAAACATCAAGGAAAACACGTGGTTGCAGCAAATAATCGATTGATTTCGATTGTGCATTGATTTCGAAGATTCTTGAACCTTCCATCCCTTAAAGTGACCGCCAACATATAGAGGTTTGGCAAGGAAGCTACTAAGTTTACCAGTTGACCGTCGTTTTCTAGAAGCCGAAGGCCTTTGGCGAAGGTCTGGGGCAGTTGTGCAGCGTTTGGTTAACACCTTTTTCTCGGTCAAAGTCGTTGGACTTCTGATTTTTCTTCCGCTGGGCTATAAGTCTTGTGGAGAAATTTGGGCGTTTAATTCGGAATGGCGAGAAAATGTGAAGATCTGGTTTAGCGGACGAATCATAAGGGTGCTAATGGGAGCCATAGGAGCTTAGATGTGGATAAACAGAAAAGAAATTAGTAGCAGATGAAAGCCTAACAGAGCAAATGTCCTTTGAGAGTGGGATGTGCAAGTGGAAATCAGTTTCCTAGGTGCCAATAAACTCTGGTTCCTAATATGGCATTCCACGACGATAATATCGGGTTGCTCACTTGATCGACTGGGAGTAGAAAGTAGGAGCATAGACATCGGTACATCGATGTGAATGCGAGCAAGAGGACACGCAGGCTGGGGTGCACTGGTTGAGTAGGAGGTGAGCGAGATGGACCGCGTATCACACACGAGTGTGTAACGAAAGCTAAATGGAATTATCGGCGTCAGAACAGTTCACAGTAGGATGAAGTATCCTACCATCATAGGTTTAATGTATGAACTAGGAAGGACCCAACAGATTTCCTGTAAAATCTTAGGTATAAAATCGGTAATCAGGGAAGGGAGAAAATAGTTTACCTTCCTCCTTCATGGACCTGATTTCTTCCCACTGCGTTGTCACAGGGACTTTTTAGAAGATCGAGGTAGAGAGAGAATATTGGGCTGATTTAAGCTAGCTAGTCAGATATACTCAGTGAAACGACTCAATGAACAAGTTCTTAACAGTCCTTCTGTTTCCTCGCGATGTCATATGGTACATTGTCCTGACCCGGGTGCATGGGCTCGAGAACACGCTCTGTTCATGCGAGTTTCGGTAAAAGCAACATTGTCCCGAGTGTCAAGATTATTTCTGGCACTGAACATCGGAGAAAGACCCCCTCGTACTCCGAAATGGATCGAATACTGCACACTACCGGTGATTCCCCCAGTGGGTTAGACAGCTACTAGGATGTCTGATGTTTACAGCACTGAAGCCAGTCTGGCTTGAATATGGTTGCTTCATTGACATCTGTTTAAGTCACCTTAGCTATTCAGACATGCTTCAAGTATAGTGGGTTAATGGATCCAGTCGAGATTACTTACCCAGCTATGGTCTATATAAAAAAGGTTGGAAAAGATGAAAGGGAAAACTAAGGAACCAGGCAGAACGGGACAAGACGCAAGCTGGAATGCACAACTGAAGTTATTCTTGAGCGTGCACCATATCGGATAGCTGAGCTAACTAGGATGCGGTCGATGCCGAGACTCCATCGATTTCTCATACAATGGGATTGGAGCATAGTCGTCATCTCCGATTGCAGCATATCGCAAAGTGAATTCAATAAAACTGGATCCAGTTAGACAGCAAGTAGCATTGGAGGAAAGACCTACAATATCCTCATCTCCTAGACTGTACATATTCCTTCGATTCGGAGATTAATGTGAGGCAGCGATACCATTTTTCTGGCGGAAACCTATACTACCAGTCCTTGTGATGTGCTGAAATCACTCATTACTGGACTCTTCCACAGTAGTATAGAAATGAAACAATTCAGAATTCGCTTCAGCGAATTGCCATTCGACAGTTCCCATCAGGCCAATACATATATTACTGATGAGTAGTGAGGATTTTGGCATAATTCAACTAATTCATCATCGCCACTGCCAATCAGCAGGCTTAGGCTAGTTTGGAAAAACACCAGACGCCGGGGTTTCGACTTTATGGGTCTCGTCAGTGGTGTGCCTCCCACCGGACCCCTGCCGGGTTCCGCCCCCATGACTTCGGGATGCCAGCAGCTAGTGCCACTTCGCCAAGGGTGGGATCCGCGGAGCTGCGTGATTGACAGTTGACTATGATATAGCCCGGCTCATCTTTCACTGCCATGCCAGTTACAAACTGTGCAGAGGACAATGGATAGCCTCACGAGCTAGGACTTTCCGCATAGCGCCAATGCACCGCATAGAACTTAGAAGCTATACGGACAGATTTTATACCAATGATACATAGTACTGATACATATATAAAACTGGTTAAAACTTTGCAGTAAGCTAAGAAAGCTAGGCTAAAATTGGTCAAGTTCAAAAAATCACCTACTGAGAAGGGCTGAAGCCATTGCGATCTGGCCAATGCAACCTGAACTGTGCAAACAGAAGACCCCAGTGCAGGCGCTTTTGTCGTGGCTGTGATTACACTGCGAGCGCCATTCAACGTGACCAGAGACGGTGACTCAGTTGTTCCTGTTACCGCATCGGACGGCTGAGCCATCGCGTTTTGTGTGCATTTGTGCCTGTGCATGGTTAACACCTACGATTGGAGAATCGAGTCAACGTACCATGCAGCCCATTTGAACTCGAAATAGTCTAGAGCAACTTTCTTAGTCTATTGCAAGATTTAAACCCATTATTACATATATTGCCTGACAAAAAGTGTCGAGAAGAAATTTCTTCATTGAATTGAATGCTTACATTATCAAGGGTATATTCCATGAAACAATTAAACCTGATGCAATTTGTACACCACGAATCGAGCATTGCAGTGCAACGCGTTCGTAAGTATTCGTACAATCTATACTCGGCTCAGTTAAATTATACAATCATCATCCGGGTACCGAAATGTGGGAGACCAAGTTGCCAATAATTGCATCGCCAGGATAACAGTAGACAAAATTGATGTGGAAAGTGAAGTAGGACGTAGACAGCATGCAAAGAAAACGTGGCTAGGGGAAACGTAGGTGAAATCAGTCGAGATGCAAGAAGCCGAATTCACGTGTCTCTGACTTCACGACTGTACCATTCCCGATAGAGTCTCCTACTACGGAATTGGGCAATCCCGAGGTCGCAATCCACAAAGCCAACAGGTACCAGCTCGACTAAGTTTGGTAGTCAATTTCTTCATGGCGACGTTATCGACTGACCACCACGCATTTACACCCAACTAAGTACAGTGACCGCATATGATGCACGCCGAGGAAGATGGTCAAGGGGCATACCAAAAGTATAGTTTAGTCAACATAAGCGATACAATTTTAATGTGGAACCACAGGTTATTACGGACGAATAATGCAAGTGATTAACAAGTCACGTGGGATGACCAAGATGAGTGCCAACCAATGGGTAGTGAGGCGCCGAAGTGTTTTTTGTCAAGCAGCTACTGACAGGATTCAGTAATGTTCCCCGATGTTCCTGTCAAGTAATTATCAAGACAAATTAGTGACAGCGAAAACAAAAGCGTCAACTAAGAGAGTAGATGGAAAAGGGCTCATACAATAACGGTTGTATGCTTGGGTGGAAATTCTAGCAGCAAAAGCAAGATTTAGAATCAAGGTTAAAACACTATATAACAGAATTCCTATGAGAACCAACAACGCCCAGTCAAAGCCGGGCACCGCGACTACTCGTTCGGCTTCAGCGTAAATGGTCATAACTTCCCGTTCTAATTTGATAATCCAAACCGTATTGTCTTTAAGCATCCTTTATTTTAATCTTCCTTCCTTACTGCTCACTTCCCAGATTTCCAATCCTAAACGAACGTGTCTACTACCTTTTGCCGACGTTGACAAACAACAGCGTTCCGTTCAGTTGTTGCCGCTGGAAGCATCAGAATCAGCCGCTCACGCATGTCGCATGCGATCACATAAAGTTGGACGACCCGAGCACCGTGTTCAATAGTGGATGTGTTGAACCACTGACGCGTTTCATCCAACACTACTGGATGGGAATTCATTTGATTCCGTTGCTGGTGGTGATCCTGACCATGGTAAGGCTTCACATTAGCACATAAAAGTTGATATCCCGTTGCAATGAATGCAAGTAGAAAATAATGTGCATTACTACTGCTAAGTCAGGAAGGGCGGTCCGATACACTAAACCAATGCATAGTAAAAGCGGGAGAAGCAAGGGCAGTGGGCACAATGAATCGCAGTTGTACCCGTGGTTCCAAAACCGTAGTAGACGTACGAATTAGCTGAGCGGCTCACAAAACACGAATTGTTTAAGCAATAAACGTTAAGAGCGCGTCACAAATGTGGCACAGTAGAACAAAGGTGATAGAGGTGCGAAAAATAACAAGTTCACAACCGTAAACGGAAATAGTTAGCAACAGAAATTAAAAGAATATGAGATCTGTAAATATCTGGCTTAAGTACAGTGTAACTTCGAGGCTAGTTGCATAGGCAGAACCGATAGGACCTTGAGTGTCCGGATAATGGAGCAGGTTCCAAAGTGGCTCCAACACGAGACGGCTAAACAAGTATGCCAAGCTCAGGCTACGCATTCACACAGGCCGCCAGCATCTTCGGTCGGCAGGCATTTATTGATCTCAGGTCACCAGATCGAGGTCAGCACGTCGTTCAAAGTTCTGCGGCGGCATACCTATTCCCTTCTCTTTTGCTTCGCTGAGGCTGTTGCGGTAAACCGGAACTTTGTGTTCAAAAGCAACTATCGGTCAGCCTCAGGTTGCCTTGGATGTAGTTATACCCCTTTCTTTCTTCCTTTCGTTTTGTTTGCATGTTTGCATCAACTGACAGTTGTAGTTCATTACCAGTTATCGTTTTTCGGTACCGAAGCGATAATACGAAGTGCATGCATTTACCGACCGTCTTCTTACTGTGCTTCTCAAACTGTCAGTCTGCAACTGGATAATGCACTGATAATCGTCGATCGCCTTCGTAGAATGAGCGAATTACTCATTAATTTGAAATAGTGTAAATAAAACAGTGAGTAGATGAAAACTAGCAAATGATAACATTTCGCACTGTCTCATCAGGACCAGTACACTAACAGGAGAAATATATATGTACTTACAGCTAGGATGTGACCGAATAAGATACAGAGCGAAGGACAAATGTTTCAGAACTACGTCCGTGGGAGCCTTAGGCTTACGAATAGCTATTTGTGCAAACTGGTACTTAGGCCGAACAATAGCTCTAGAGCCGTTGTCATTCGGCATCGTAGTCCGGCCAACGGTTTCAGTGTGCAGCTTGGGATGTAGAACTTAAGCATCGAAGCTTTGAGCACCGTAATACGCATTCGATCGATAGACAGTATTATGGTAACCCGTTAGCTCCCAAAGTAATTTTGGTGACTCCGTTTTCCTTGTAAAAATTGTGTTGTTTAGGGTCCCAGGAGGACAAAAATGTGTTAGTTGTCTGAGTATATGAGTGTGTGTAGTAGATACAATATGTCCTCTTACTATGACATTGAAATGACCTCCGATAAAAAAATTACATATGCTTAGCTGCCCTGTAAATAGGACACTGGTAGATAACGGGTTAACCAGTCCAGCAGTGCTGGTCTCTCTTCAAAAGCCACATATACAGCAACGTTGGATGAAGCCGAGTGGAGACTAAGTGTCGTCACTACATGTCTGCGGATGTGTACACGGCCGCTTGTGTATGAGACAAATTTGTTCGACGTTAGATGTAATGGAATATCATGCAAATGTTTGTTGTAAAGGTTAGATGGGATAAGCATTCTGAGCGACGCCGTAGCTATTTCTACAGTGATTGACACAGTTGTGTGGTGCACAGGGAGCGTAACTGTTCGGATGCCACGGGAAGACAGCTTGGGCTCCATCAAAAAAGATTGTCGACTTTCCGAACGGTGTTAATTTTGACCGAGAAAATGTTTTCCGTAATCGATGGAGAAGAATCATCACTCATTTGATGGTCAACTAGAGCTACCCGGAAAGGGAAACAACATCGGGCGAAATAGTCACACATGCCACAATTATTACAATCTGCTGTGCGGGTCGGACGTGAGTGACAGTTCGCTTTGTGGCGAGAACTTTCACACTGATAACATAAAACATCTACCTTTTGAGATTGTGCGCAAACTTTGTTCTGAAGTTTACTGAGTTCGTGTTTCCCTTGTGTTGAACAGACACAACTGTTCGAGCGTAGCTGTTTTGAGCCTGGCGATCACTATGGCTCTGCCTCAAGGACACTTCGAAGGGTCTGCGAAAAGTAGGGCTTCTCGTATGCGATAATCAGTGATGTCGGTCATTAACTGTCAGGTCACCATAATTCCCACAAATCTAGTCTATAGGATGCTGGCGGAATCACGGAATTTTACGGCACAGATAAAGCTGGAAATGAAGTGCTCCGGTGACCTTGAATCCTCTTGACTCAACCGACAGAATTTGTAACGTTCTACGAAAGCATTAGGTCTGACACCCCAACATCAATCTAATACATATAATGCCTTTGTAAGCGTTCCGTCGTAGTTCCAGCGAGTCCAAGTAACGTTAGCCTTCGTTGCCTAAAAGGGGACGAAGATGTTTCGACCTTTGAATTTCATTGTAAGTAGAAGTTGACGGAAGTGTGTCCAAATAATTCGTAAAAGAAGTTTTTCACTAAGCGCAATCGTTTTCAGCACTGGAATAGCAACAGAAAGATTCTGGAGGTGGAAGATGAAATGCCATTTCAGCGGTTCGCAGCCGCGACGCCAATCATGTAGGACAGTCAGCGTAGTAGGCCTATCCGTGACCCGACCTCAGCAACAGTATCCGGACACATACGAATGGTAATCAAAACAAAACCACGGCGCACTTGGAATCGTGTATTCTAACTAATGGTTGGCGGCATCCGGTTCCGGATTTGCCTGTCACTGCGACCTCCATACGACAGCCACAGAACGGCTGCGCCTACAGTGAGACCATGGGTGGCTAGAGCTGCATCACCGGAGTTAAGCCGACCCACACTCCTTCACAGGCAAACACAAGCACGCTGTATTTGAAAAATCAAGCGCACACAAGGCGGTGGCTGGATCGTAGTCCGCTCCACAGTGAGTGCATGGAACCACTCTTCGAGCCTAGCACGACCACAAGGACCGTGCATCCCATCCCCTCCAACAACGACCAACTGTCTCCTGGAGCCAGTATGGAGAAGGTAGTGGGTAATAGACAGGTAGGTACCTTGTCGACATGCACATCAAGCGCAGCCACACTGCGGATATCAAGCAACAGCCAATTACCAGGAACGACAAGATGAAATAAAACAAATCCAATAATGCATACAGATACGGTGGCATAACTCTTCCCTGAATTACCATATTAAGTAAGTTGGTTAGCAACGATTCCGCGATAAGGAAAAAGTGTCCACAAGTTACTTGAAAATGCTATAAGCGCAACAAAGTTACCGAAGATAAGTGCAATTAGCGTAAGCAACGTGACTAGTTAATAGAACATTATTCAGGTAGGAAGAACAAACTAAATGAAGTGGAATGAAATCTATCCAGCTTAAAAAGACCTAGTTTAGGTGTACGTTGGTTTAGCCCAACTGCGTTAAAGAAGCATCAAGAATGCAACATCAGCGTCAGCATGGGGCATACATACATACATAGTTGACGTCATCCGGTTTCGGATTTGCCTGTCAATATGGCCAGCCACAAGACGCCTGCGTCTATAGAGGGACCATGGGTGGTTTGCGCTGCACCACCCACGGTTCCACCCACACATCCATATCCAGTGTAAACCCGAAGGAATAAAACCGAGAGGCATGTGGATGGGAGCTACGTTTCACCAACGAACAAGGCCCACACGACTTCAACATGCACAACCGCAGCATTCCTGCCTATCTATGTGGGGAACCATGCGTACCAGACGTACACGAGGTGGCGGCTGGGCAGTAGTCTGCTTCACACTGGATAGAACCACTCTTTGAGCCTAGCAAGGCCACGAGGACCGTACAATCCGTCCCCCCAACAACGATTCAGTCTCCTGGAGCAAGTAATCGAGGTGGAGGGTGCTACACAGGCAGGCACTTTGTCAACGTTCACATCAAGCACAGGCACACCGGGGCCATCAAACAACCAAAGTAGAATTCGAAGGAAAATAAATGCGCAAAATTGACACGGAATATGCAGCAGTATAACAGAACTGAGTGAATAAAAATAAAGAGGAATACATTTTATCCAGGTTATGAAGATCGTGTTTAGGTGTAAGTCGGTGTAGCCCGACTGCGGTGAAGAAGCCTGATGTATGCAACATCAACCTTAGCATGAGGCTTACAGGCGTGATTAGTATTAGCGATCAATCGACAAAAGTTCGACCAATCAGTTGCGAGATGTGCGCACGTGCGTACGCGTGAACACAGAACCATCAAATAAGTCACAAGGAAAGCATCACCTGAGCTGGTTCGTCGAACAAGCCGTCATAGTGCCTGGTGGGTGGTTCGGGTTTACCCCGTACCAGCCAACAGTTCGGTGACTACATTGCAGGTCGTGGTCGATTTTCGCCTGACAGTCGTTCTCCTCATAAAGAATCACAAAGATCCGTTTGACAACAATGCGAGGTGGCGGATGTGACGCCACGAAGTAATTGCGCTTGGTTATTTGGATAAACATATACATCCCGTGGGCTTAAATTATCCCTTGTCACATTGGTGACGCGGGCAAACAGAACGCAAGTAACACAGCTACACATACGCACACACGTATACACATATCCAGATTCATTGTAAATAACAAACATGTGACAATTTAGTAGACTTCCCGATAATTCGTTCGCATTGTACCAGGATCAGGACTGTGCAGGCGTCCATCGTGTTGTTGAGAATAAATTACCTATTTATATCAAACGGAGAGTTACCTCACATGAAATGCCTGGAAGTGGGGTTTCAGGTTCGTGACTGTAACTGTTTGTGTAAGAAGAAGAACTGTGAAGGCGAAACTTGGACGGGAAACAGTCCTGGCGGGGCTCGACGGTCGAAGTAATGATAGATGAACGAAACGGGTATAGGGGACAAACGCTGGACAGGT